GGGGCGCTTCATGACCGTTACCTGGGTAGTAGACTCCCCCAGGCACAGCACCAGGAACAGCTCCGGGGACCCCTGCAAGGAAACAGAGTCCCGAGTTCAGAGCCAAATCATCTGTCCCTCTGCATCGGGGTGCACAGGGCCCCCCGTGGGGTCCCTATGAGTCGTGTGCTCTTTCCATGGTTGATTTTTAAACATTTTCTTTGTTCTTTTTAGAAGGGGGCCACCAGGCCTTTCTTCTGAGGTGCTTCTGGGCAGCCCCCCCAGGCTCCAGTCCTTGGGTTCGCAGCTCCCTTCACCCCCACCGGCCGCCCAGGGACCCTGAGTCCTCCAGGAGCCAGAACCGAGTGGAGCGTGGTGGAAGGGAGGGTGGTCAGGATGACGACATTGTTGCTTTGCAAAGCACTTCCTGTCTCTGCTTCCTGAGTATTTCCTCAACCTCCTTTCTCCAAGTCGGGAGAAAGACCCCGGCTGTCAAGGATCAGTCTGGGGACCCACAGGGGCAGTTCTACCCTGTCCTGTAGGGGCAGCATGGGTTCATAGCAGGGATCTGGGGTTTGGTTTGGCTTCTCCCGCTGCCCCCTAGAGACGGGCAGCCAGGGATTGCTACTGCTGTGCCTCCTGTGAGCTCTGAGCCGCAGAGAGGTTAAGGGCTTCTCCTGGGGCCACATAGCTTCCAATGGAGATTGCCGGTCTGAGTGTGGCTGTCCTCACGACCTTAGATGGTGACCAGGGAGACTGCCCAGATAGTGGCGGGGTTTGTGCCCCCTTCCCCCCCGCTCCCTGCAGTTGATTCTCCCCTGAAAGAAGCAGCCTGGGCTGGGAGGGGGCTAGCAGAACAGGCAGCTTTGAGTAGGAAGGATCTGGGTGCTGCCTTTCAAACACAGCCATTCCCACGCTGACAGGCCTGCTGAGGTCAGTGGCCTGGACGCTGGCAACAGTGACTGGGTGGGGTTCTGGCTGTGTGTCCCTGGAGGTGCGGGGGCGCAGAGGGGGACCCCTAAGGAAACGCCAGTTGAACGCCTTGGACGAGCCCACATGGTGAGCCCCATCACACCGTGGAGTTTACATGGGGATGATGGGGATGCTGGGTCCCAGATGGAGGCCTGTTGTAGTCATGGCAACAGATGGATCCCAGTCCCAGCCACCCCAAAGGGTCCCCAATTCAGAAAGCCACCTCACCAGTAACCCAACAGCAGCCCAGGGCCGCCCTACAGAAGGGGGCTTCTGTGGGCATGGGTGGACCTGGGGAGGGGCAGTCAGCGTGGGGTGGCTCTGCAGTGGGCCCAGGGCAGCCTCCCAGCCAGACGTCTGGCCCTGAGACCTGGCGACACAACACGGCTCTGGCTCCAAGCCCAGCCGGAGGGGGTGGAGGAGGGCGGGGGGTGGTGTGCCCAGCTGTCATGGCCACCCCGTGCCAGAGCCCTCGCACCACCCTTGTGCCACCCCCACCCCTCTCCCACAGGGAATGCAACCATCCTGGGCTTAGCAGTATCAAAGCAATCTGGTCCACGCCTGGAGGCTCAGAGTGGTGGCCCCCGGGGGTCCTGCCTGCTGGGATCGAGCACTTTGCCCCTGTCATCAGCTGCCAAGTGCACACATGGTTTGCCTGCCTGCCCCTGCCTTTGATGCCGCCCCTGGCTCCGGGGCCCACATTCCGCTTGGAGGACTGTCTCCCCTGAGGCTCTCTGGTCTCCCGCTTCTTCCCCTCCCCCCTCCCTGCCTCTACTCCAGGACAGTCTGCAGGGGACAACCTTCAGGGCACAGAGTAAGGGAGGGGCTCAGGGCAGACCCTTCTGCCTTTTTGTCCTGCCTTTGCTGTATGACCTCAGGCCACTCACGGAACCTCTCAGAGCATCGGCATCCCCCTCATCCACAAGGCAGCCTTGCCTCTTACTCCCTGTGCCGCTGTCTGTCAAAGGGCATGCGAGCAAGTGAGTGGCTACCCGCCTGGATGGGGACCCTCTGTCCCCACTGTCTCACACCTTCACCACACACTTGGTGGCCCCTGTGGATAGGTAGATAGGGCGTCGGGGGCCCAGAGATGCTGCCCCTGGTGGTGGTAGGGGCTGTCTGGGTCTGGCTTTTACCCGCCACCAGATTGGCTGCCCAGCCTGGCTCAGTCCTCTCGCCCTCTCTGCTCGGCGTCTTCTGCTTGTGCCCCTTTCCCGGCCACTGCTTCTCATTCTCTGCTGTTTTCCTCCCTGCCTCTGATCATCTGTGTCCACTCTCTACGCCCCCAACTCTGTGTGCCCAGCCCTGGGTTTGGACCCCAACAGCCTGCCGGGAAGGGCTCTGGCTTCTGAACTCTGAGGACATGGAGGCCAGTGGGTACTGGGGACCCCAGGCCTGCCCACTTCTCTTCAGGGGCAGGGGAGCTGAGATGAGAATTAGGCTGGAGTTGTAGAGGGCAGTCAGATCAGGAAGAGCCTCCTCAGTGTCCTCAGGGGTCAGCTCCTCCCCGCACCCCCCTGGGAGGCCCAACCCTCTCTCCAAGCCCTCCCCTCCCACCAGGCCTGAGCCGGCCTCCCCGGGCCTCTCCTCTCCCTGCCTGCGCAGTGTGGTTGGCTGCAGGCATTTGGCTTGCAGCTGGCTTGTCTTGTTTTATGTGGGGTTGGCTTGTTCCACCAACCAGCCCAGGGTGGGGCCTTCCTCATGCATCTGAGAATCATGATCCCAGATCCCAGGGAGGGTGAGTTTTCTGGAAGGCTTTCTGCAAACACCCCCCAGTGTTCCTGCTTGCATACCTCCAGCGACAGGGTGCTCGCCACCTCCCAGTGCTCCCCGCTCTGTCCGCCCAGAGCTCCTCCTCTTACTCCGTGGGCACCTGCATCCTCTCCCCTCTCTTCTGCCTCTCAGACCCTCACCCCTACTTTTGCTCTGCTGTCACGCTTCTCTGAAGCCTTGCAGGGTTCCCCGGGACCCTGCCCGGCCCCCTTCTCCCACAGTCCTGTCTGTGTCCTCTCTCCTGCTAACCAAGCCTGTTTCCACACCAGCTGCTCCTCCCGTCCCTTGTGTGGGCACACCCGGCGTGAATCTCAAGAGAAGGATGGGAGCCTTATAATGGGGACGGGTGACATAGAATCCGTCAACGCAGGCTAGCAGGTTCCAAATAAGAGACAGCAGGTCTTGGAACAAGACCCTTTAAACAAGACCTACAGACCCATCCTGTGCGGATGGGACATGACAGCAGCCACCCACCAGCCCTCATAGCGAAATATGGCAGGGATGTGTCTGCCCTGGTTCCAGCCAGGGCTGTGGAGGCGGGAGAGGCGGTGGGATGAAGCAGCAGTCACATGCAGGGCCCTCTGCCCAGGGCCTGGGCTCCAGGTTCAAGGAGTTGGGTGCAGGCCGTTTGGGAGGGAGTGGGTCTGCGGACCTTGGCAGGGGGCGGTGCCAAGCCCAAGTCCAGGGGACTGGCTTTGGGGAGCAGATAAAACCTCATGAAGCCCTTTGCTGTTTTCACACAGGGAGGGTGCCAGAGCAGTCTTTCACAATCTGGCTGCCCGGTGACAGCGGGGGGGCCCCTCCCGCCAGCCCGTGCATGTGACCTCCTGCGTGGCCCCCCCTGCTCCAGAGGCCTCCCCAGGTCAAGTGGCCTGGGGGTTCTTGGGTGGGACTCAAGGTGCCCAGGTAATGCGAATGCCCCCAAACTTCTCAAGCTCTGGAAGAAGAGGAGGAGAAGGAGGAGGAGGAGGAGCTAATAGCATATCTAGGGGCTTGGGGGAGGGAACTACACCTGATTTAATGTCTCCCTCTCTCTCTCTGTCTCTCCCTCCCTTTCCTCTCTTAGTTTCCCTCCCTCCTCTCCCACCCTTTCTCTGCCTCTCCTGCCAGTTCATCTTCAACACTCTTTCTGCCTCATTGGAGATGGGTCTAGTCAGCCCTCCGCCTGACCCAAGCTTCCAGGGAATTCCACTGTCTTACCTCCCAGGGACCCTGGGAGCTGGTGACCTTGTATAAGTGACACCCTCCAGTGTGAGTGTGAGTGTGAGAGTGTGTGTGTGTGTGTGTGTGGTTGTGCCACTGGGCCCCCTCCTGCCCCAGACTGACGGGCGCTGGGCACAAATGCCGGAGGTAATCAATGCCCTCACCCCTAGGAGCACCCTGGTGGCACTGTTGAGTCAGCCTTGGGCTGCTAGCTTCAGGGGCGGCAGTTCAAACCCACCCCCCACTCCCTGGGAAAAAGAGGAGGCTGGCTGCCCCTGGAAATAATCTCAGTCTTGGAAACCCTCCACAGCATGGCTACGAGCAGGGGTGACTCGGTGGCCATGGGTTTGGGGGGTCACTCCCGCCCCCAGGACAGATCTGGACACTTTCGGTGCTCAGTTCAGAGATCTGTCGCCTTAAAAGTCACGCCGGTCAATGACATGTCTCTCCTCAAACGTGAACTTGACCGCGGCCGAGAGAGGCTGGGAACAGCACCTGGGAGGCCTGGGCCCGTCTGAGCCTCGGTTTCCCTATTTCAAAAGTGAAGGTGCTAATTCCTGACCCTCTTTTTATGGGGACTGCGGGCCATGCTCCAGGTGGCAGCACTGTCTGGGAAGCAGCCACTCCTGGGGGCCGGGGCCAGAGTGGCTGTCTCAGGCATGGGGCGGCTGGCCCTCTGGGACTGCCTGGCTGTCGGTGCCCACGTCCCCAAGGCCTGGGAGCTGACCCTGTACAGGAAACCTGGCTCCCAGTCGGTCAATCTCACGGAAACAGCTGCGCTTGGGCTCTGCCCTTGACTCCCGCCCACTGGCTGGGGGCCCCAACCGCACGTCAGGTGCTCCTGGCCAAGGGCCCCCGCCCCTGAGGGGCTCAACCTGCACCCCTCCTTTCCCACAGCAGGGTGCTCCTCGGTGCTTTCCCACTGGCCACGCTCAGCACTCCCCCGCCCCTTCCCACCTGGCCCCGAGCTGTGTAGCAGCTCTTAGACGGATCCTGGAGCCTGGACACCAGCTGGCCAGGTCAGGACACCTGGCAATGGTCCAGCACTGTCCTGAGGTCCCTCTAGCTTTTGTCCAGGCTGCACACCCTCTGGCAGGAGGGGACACCTTCTGCAGACAGGTGCCCCCTGCCTTCCTTCTATCACATGTTGACACAAACACACACACACACTCATAATCACACTCACATGCAGTCACACTCACATACTCACCCCCCCTTGATCACACACACTTATACACACTCATACTCATGATGACACACATGTACCCCCAGTCACATGCAATGACAACCCACACCCAGTGACACACACACACACACACACACACACACACACACACACACCAGGACACTAGAGTGATAAGCTCCACTTCTACCTGAGTGGTGGGTAACAGAGGTGTGCTCATACTGACAGGTATCTTCCTGGGTCTCATCACCACCTTGTCCCCACACACCGTCCAGACTTTCCTGTCCTCCCTGCTCGGTCACACACAGCACACACACACACACACACACATACACACACACATCTACAACATGCCTCCTTGCCTGGGGACAGACAGACAGACCACAGTCACAACATCCCACGGTTCACCTGACCCTGGCTTTCTTTGGAGGGACATCTTGAGGACAAGAGTCACACCGTCCACTGTGGCTGAACTGTTGGGACCCAGGCCCCCTGCCCTCTATGCTCAGCAGGGTCCACAAGTACGCACACCTCGGATGCCCCAAGACCTAAGGGGACCCCCATGGGCTGCCTGGGAGGCAGGCAGGACAGATGGTCCCTGCGTCCTCTCCAGACAGCCAGACCTGGACCAGGTGTCTGTCTGTGTGACAGCTTCGTCCTCAGCCCCAGGGAGGATCCAGAGGCAGAGGGGCTTCTGCCTGGGAGCCATGGAGTGAATGGCTCCCTCCCTGGTCGCAGGCCCCAGGGGCCGGGGTCCTTACCTCCGGGCTGAGCAGGGTGCAGGGCGGAGAGTAGGAGGAGCAGGAGTCCCGGTCGCAGGGCTGCAGCTGTCAGACCCGCCATCTCGGGGAGGAATGCCCAGCCCGCTCTCGCGCCCCGTTTTATCCCCAAAGCGTAATTGCTGCCTGGTCGGCGGGCGGCGAGGGAAGGAGGGAGGGAGAGAGGGCGGGTGAGAGGGTGGGGGAAGGGGGCCGTGGGGGGGAGAGGGGGCCGGGGAGGGGGCAATTACGAAAGGCCCCAGCTCACAGCGTCCCCGCCTGGGTCTGACTGGACTGTGGGCTTTTTTCCCTTAAAACACACACTCACACACACACTCACACAGGCGCGTGTACACACACACACACACACTTACACACACTTTTCTCATTGCTCTCTCTCTCTCTGTGCCTGTTCTCACACAGCTGGCCCCGTTCCCGCCAGAAAGTGCGAGGGGGGACCTCAGCCAGGACAGCCCTCAGGAGAGGAAGCAGGAGGGAGGGCCTGGCAGCCGGGCCAAAAAATCCCGACCCAGCCAAGGCCTGAGTGGCCAGGCCCCCGCCCCTCCGGCTGGGCCCCTGGCCCAGTGTGGGGACACAGGCCAGCTGTCCCAAGCCTCTGCCCCCTCCTCGGCCCGCCAGACTCCCCAACACCCCCAGACCTGGAGAGACAAAGCTCTACCCAATTCTGGAGAGAGAGACCTGGGTGGGGGTGGGGGGAGGTGGGGGGGAGAGGGGGTTAATATCTGCAGAGGCAGAGGGGCTGTGTGTGTGTGTGTGTGTGTGTGTGTGTGAGGCTGTGTTGGTGCTGTTCTCGGGCACCTGTGGGAGGGCTGGGAGACCCCCGCTACACCTCTGGCCTTCATTCTGCATGGGGTCAAGGTCTCAGGCCCACACCTAGCTCGGAGAGGGAGGTGCTCTGCAGGACCCCAGGCTGGGCCCCTGGGTACCCAGTGGGAGGAGTGAGGCATCAGGGAGTCCCACACAGGTGGCCTAGACCCCACTTTCTCACTTGATCACTACCCATCCCGACACTGGGGACCTCTAGCTCCCTCACAGACTTGGGAGGCTGAAGGCCACTGGTTCGTTCCCTCTCTGGCCCTCTGGGGATGTCTGGGGCCGATGTTCCTCTGATGGCCAGGAGGGGGCAGCCCTGAGCTGAAACAGCAGGCCCCCACAGTTCAGATGTCTGGGTGCCTGCCCCGCCTGCCTGCTCAGGGCGAGGACCTCGGGCTTCTGATGGGTAGGCGCTCCTGTCCCCGGGCTAGCCAGAGGACAGGAGAGGGAAGCGGCCATTGACCCCAGGCGACAGCAGCCCAGGAAGAACCAGAAGGGCTCATGTTCTAGACTCTAGAATAGCGGTTCTCAACCTGGGGGTCCAATGACCCTTTCACAGGAGTCACCCTATTATTCATCACAGCAGCAACAGGACAAGGATGAAGTAGCAACGAAAATAATGTTACGGTTGGGGTTCACCACCACGTGAGGCACTGTCTGAAAGGGTCACGGCGTGAGGAAGGTGGAGAACCGCTGCTCTAGAATCTAGAGACTTCTCTCTGCTCCAAGAAGGAGAACGAAGGAGCGGTTTCGGCCGGTGTGTGTGTGTGTGTGTGTGTGTGCTGTGACAACAGGTCGGAGGCAGCATCTCGGACGGGGAGTCTGGGCATTTGGGCATTACCCGTGGTGACTGGACACCAGACTGTGGACCCAGGGCACGGAGAATTAAATTCCGGCTCTAGCATGTTCTCAGGAGCCCGGGTGGTGTAGTGGTCTTGAAGTGGGCTGCGATCCACAAGGTCTGAAGTTCAAAACCACCAGCCGCTTCTCAGGAGAAAGAGAGGGCTTTCTACTCCCGTAAAGAGTCACAGTCTCGGAATGTGAGTCGGCGTCGATGCGATGGCGGTCAGCTTGGTTTTGGACACCCTCTAGTGGGGTCACCTCTCTAGCACTGCCGAGTCCCCATCTGTCCCACGGTGGAGAGCAGCTCTCCCTGGGTGAGTTGCTGCAACGAGAAATACAAGGTGACCACCTATGTCTGCAGTGTCCGTCAGGTACCACATTCTCGGGCCGTCTGGCACCAGGACGAGGGGTCTGTTGGTCCCAGCTCCGAGCTGGGCTGCCCTACGGCCCTTCCTTTCCCAGGTCGATGACAGAGGAGGTGTCAGAGTTTGGAATTGGGGGCAGCGGGGGCGGTGGTGTGTGTGTGGCAGTATAGTGGTTATACACTGAACTGCTAGCCTAAAGGTCAGCAGTTCAAAGCCACACGCCGCTCTTCGGGAGAAAGATGAAGCCTTCTGCTCCCATACAGAGGTCCAGCCTTGGACACCCTCCCTTATAGGGTCGCTCAGCACTGGCATCGACTGCATGGCAGTGAGTGTGTGAGTGTGTGTGTGTTTGGTGATAGCCTGGTCAGGGAATTGTTTTAAAGCTGCATTTGCAGAGCAAATGAACCCCTTCAACTTAAGGCTCTCTGCTTTTCCAGAGGCTCCAGGGGCAGCTGAACCCGAAGCAGCCCCGACCAGTCGTTGGTGTGTGTGGTAGGGAGGGGGTGCAGCTCCGAGTCAGGGTTTGAGGTTCCGTGCCTGGTGTGTGCCTGTGGGACAGGGGTGTGTCTGTGTGGGAAGGAAGAGGTGCTGGGCCCCATTCTTCCCGCAGCCGTGACGTGGGCAGGAACCCACTTTCAGACTTGAAAACCACAGTTGGCGTGGCGTCGTTATTGATTCCAGAGAGGGAAAGCAGGCCGAGCCAGCGGGGGCGGGCTCGAGAGGGGGGCGTGGTGCCGAGGGGCTTCTGCAAGGGTAGATTGGAGGCTGTCGAGCCAGACCTCTCTCCCCATCAGGGTCTGTAACTGGTCCGCAGACTGTGCACCCCTTTCCCCTTCACGCGCGGGGTTCACTGTAGCTGCCCCATTAACCCAGATTCCACGAGGCTTCTGCACACCCAAGTCAGGAGCAAGCCGATTAAACTGAATCTCAAGTGTCCCGGAGCTTGTCAGGTCAGGGCGAAGGTCATAACCATCAACCAACACTCATTCATTCATTCGTTCGTTCATTCATCCGGAAACCCAGTGTCCACCCCTGTGTTGCTCCTCCCTCCCCTCACAGCTGCCTGGGGTCACTTACCTAGAGGGCTCCGACTTACAGGAACACCGATGGCCCAGGGACACCCACTCACCCCCAGTCTCTGCCCTCTCCCTCACCTGGCGTACCTGTGTAGGAAGGAAGGGTCTGTCACCCTCCCCAAACTCCCATTGCGTTGCTTAGGAACCCTCAGCTGCCCTCTGGATACATTCTTTGCCTCCGAGCCAGGCCTTCAAGGCCCCAGGACCGGGCTCCATCCACACTGCCTCCTCCCGCAAGCCTCCCAGCCCACCCCAGTTTGTGGGCTGTCCCCCCCACCTCCACTCCCCCCAGCCCGAGACTTGTCCTGGGAGGCTGGTGCAGGGCCTGTGTTGGTGAGGTGCCTGGTCTCCGTGTGTCTCTGCCTCTGTTCCTCAGGTCTGTGTCCCTTGCCTCCTGCTCTGAGGCCTATCTGGGAATTCTAGGACTTGCCCCCCGCCCCTCCACCCCCCACCCCCGGGTTGACTTGGGTGCTTCAGCTCACCTGCCGCAATGATGGCCCGGCCATCATTGAAGACAGAGACCCTGATAGCACGGGCTCAGCACTGGTTCAGTCCCGGACTGCCCGCCAGGAGATGGGGACAGAGGTGCTGGGGTGGACAATAGCCCCTCTCCCACCCTGAGACCCCGGGCTGTGGTTTCTGTGTTCTCCAAGACCCGAGGCCAAGATATGCTGTCTGCAGTGGATGCTGGACCAGCCAGCGGGACAGAGGGCTAGCAGTCTGCCTGAGGAAAATGCTGCCCGATGCAGGGGCCTCTGCTGGCAGTCTTTTACACCTTGGTGTGTGTGAGGCCAGAAGAAAGAGGGGGCTTTCTACTCCCCTGGACAGTTGTCGTCTTGGAAACCCACAGGGGCAGTTCTACCCTGTCCTACAGGGCCATGCTGTGTCGTCAGGGACTTGATTGCCGTGAGTCTGCTTTGTCTGGTTTGGGGAGCGAGGGCCAGAGCCACGCTGACAGGGCCGCTGCATGTCTCGTGTGGCCCCCACTGGGGGCTGGGGGTGGGGGTGGGGGAAGGGCCACTGGTTGGGCAGTCAAGCTCTGGAGTCGAGATTCTCCGGGGGTAAGTCGAGTCGGCAGCGAGACAGAGTAAGTGCCCAGTGGCTTGCCTCTCTGGACCCTCAGCCTCCGGACCCAGCCCCCTCCCCTTCCCCTGATGTCAAGCAATGATTACGCTGGTTGGGAGGAGGGAGGGAAGACAATTTTATTGACCCAAATACCCACATATCCCAAATATTATTGCTTCAAGGGGTCGTCCAGATAAAAACAGCGAACGATTTGGCATCCTTTCAATTAAAAGACACTGTTTTGAGGGGTAGGGGTGGGGGGTGGGCACCAAGTCTGAAAAATCCAGTGTTTTGCACACAGAGCCCACCCCAGCATGGACTGACGGAGGTGCTCCACAGCCACTCGGGGTGGACCAGGCAGAAGCGGGGTGGGGAGTGAGGTGGGGGTGGGCTGACTGAGCTAGGATGGTGGGGATTATAGACAGGATTCTCGAAAGGCATGTGGGTGGAGCTCGCTACTCAAAGGGTTAAAAGGTAAGCCAGGGGGTGAGGCTGAGAGCCGCCAGGGCTCTGGGTTTGAGGCACCCCTAGAAGACACAGCCCCACCAGAGATACTGCCCGCGGGCTGACCACTGTCAGAGAAAGCAGCTGCCCACCCTGGGTTCCAGAGCCATCCATGCCCCCGCCCCTCCATGAGAAAGCCCCAGCTGCTTGACCCTGGCCCTCCCGAGAGGCGGCTGGAGACCCCTGACTATGGCTACTCAGGAGGGAAAGGGTCACCGCTGAAAACAGATTTGAGGCCCCGTCTGATTGGTTCCATGGGGCCAGCTGGAGCTAGGTCCAGGCCCTGGAAGGAGGGGCTGAGACGGAACACAGGTGCTTTTGCCATCCATGGGCTGGGGCTGGGGGTGCAGGGGGCTGGTATGCACTAGGGTGGGCACCCATGAGCCTCTGACCACGGGGACGTCACCAAGTCCTGGTTTCTTCCCAAGGGGAGGATGAGGACCTTCACAAAGCCATGAGATGGAGAGTT